TATTTGTATAAATAATTATGTTATGTTTCTTTAATTCTAATTTTGTCTGGAAAGATAAAAGTTAGGATTAGTTAGTGGATTTAGTTCAACTTTTAGCTTTTCTAACATGGTTTTCCTTACTTTGAGGCCAAAAATAATATATGAAGGTAGTCCTCCTTTTCGTGAAACATATAGAACTTATTTTCCGAAAAAGATGATTACAAGAAGTTGATTATAGGTTGATTTTTTATAAAAATGATTATGGGGTGTCTAAGGGGTGTCTTATTAGCATCACCCTTTATTTAATTGGTTTATGTACGATGTTAAACTATCAATAAGCATTTCTTTTTTACTCAAATTAATACCAAAGTTAGAGAAAAAGAGATTTTCCATATTAAGTCATTGCTTTTTTTTTAATAAGAGCCAAAATTTAGTCTTAATTTTATTTTTCTTCTATTTCCCCAAATATTCCTCATTTTCTCACATATTTGTCACACCCCCAAACCAAGGATGGCGGAAACGTCCGGGGGTGGAGGACTTCATGTACAGTATCACAACAACGAATATAATAGTGCTCAAAGTAAATACAACCATCATAAATATAATTAAAAAAGTTACACCAAAGTATATGTTTACATGATTCAAAATCAACTACATTATGATGACAAAAAAATAAATTGTTGACGGTTTAACGTCCCATCCTCAAAGCGATGACGTTTTCTTGTTTCACTGATTTCCTGAGAATACAAGTAGTTTTGAAAAGTGTCAACAATTAAGTTGGTGAGTTCGTAAGAGTTTTGTTTGAAGTAGAAACCATTTTCCTTGTAAAATCGATATAGTTTGATTTCCAGAAAATCCGATATTTTCTTAGTTAAGTGTGAATAGAATTATTCCTCTATGATGCATTAATGAACCCTAGAATGACCCGTAGAGTTCCTCTATAATCGTCCAACGTATATAAGTTATATAAGGTTTAAATTAGATAAAACGTTGAATATAGTGGGTCTGCCCTAGGTCCACAACCCAACGAGGAACAGGAGATGAGGCGGGCACCACCAATTCTAGGCCAATCAAGATTAAATTCTTATATGACTCAAACATATACGTTCAGCGACTATAGTTGAAGTCTAACAATTCTAGATGAAGTATAGTTTTAATATCATAATAACTATCTTAAGTGAACCTGGTACTTTGTATCGGTACCCCCTTTTTGTATAGAGACCCGACACTTTGTATTTGTACCCCTTTTTGTATAGAGACCCGGTACTTTGTATTTGTACCCCTTTTTGTATAGAGACCCGACACTTTGTATTTGTACCCCTTTTTTATATAAAAACCGACACTTTTTATTTGTACCCCTTTTTGTATAAGTATGTTATGTAAATGATCATAAACTATACCTATTATAGTCTATTAAAATGTTTGAAATGTATATGTACCCTAACTATACCTATTATAGTTTAGTATATTTCTTTGTGGTGTTTAAGAATCCCATTCTATGGAAGTCAAATGTATAGTACAATATAGCTATGTTTAACTTGTTTTGTCTTGTACTAATGATTATGATGGAGGATTCTTATAAATTCAGCAAGTAATTTCCTATAATATAAATATATCATAACAAGAAATACATGTAATATATGAAGTTATCAAAGTTTTAACACTTTGCTCAACATGTTACAAAGTGTTTTGATAGTTAGAAGCTGTTAATTAATTCTTAGTCTTTCAGCACTGTTTTAGAAAAATCATAGAAAAATCATACGAAGTCGAAAACTAGATCCGTAAATTCTGAGAGTTCGAAAAATGTGTCTAGTTTACTCATAATTTTTATCAAGATTTTTAATGACCTCAAATTTGGGTGAAAATGTCCATAATCACAGACTGGTCCGGATTGGTGTTTGAAATGATAGGCAGTTTTGTAAAATTCACCATAAATTGTAGAAAAATCGTATGGAGATGTGCAAGTAGTCATTTTAAAGCTAAGAACTTGAACTATTTGCACCTTGTACAGTTTTGAAAAATAAAATGTTTAAGTTGTCCAAAACAGTCTGTGAATGGAGTTGAACTTTTCTGATGAAGGCTGTTAGAAAATTTTAGTTATGTTCTTGGTGTTTTAACTTGTATTCCCCCCTGAAAACTTGAGAAAACATGAAAATGTAGGGGTATGAACTCACCTTGAGTGATTTCAGTAGATAAGTGTTGAAGAAGAGAAGTGTTCAACCCAAGAACACTTGAAGAGTCACTTGAAGATTCGAAACTCTAACGCTAATATGATGGAGTTTGTGTAAGATATTCATGATTTGAGTAGAATGAAATGAAATAATCATAAGGAGGATGAATTATACTTACTAAGAGTGGAAGAACACTTGAAAATCAACCTTGAATCTCGAAATTGGAGTGGGAAAAGTTTGAGAGAAAAGTGGTGTTTGATACTTAGTGAAATGAGGGCAAATGAGAGAAATGAGGAGAGAGGATGTTTGTTCCAGCTCTAAAAACGTGGAAATGAGTGTAAATTGAGTGTAAGGGACATTGAAGTGACCTAGGTAAGGTGGGGAGGTGTGGTTAGTCAAAGAGGGGGTGTGGGGTGGTTGCTTGTGACATTAGATAAGGCAAAGTCAACACTCCACCTTTAATAATTCACCCATTTGATTTTTATTATTTAGATAATGATTTTCATCAAAATATGTTTAAATTATGAATATTTAGAGTTTATTATGTTAAAATATAATTTCTGGAGAAAATCCCGCTTTAAAATCACGAAAAACGGGCTTAAAATGTTAAAAATATCAAAAATGGGCTAAAAATGACAAAATTCCGAATTCTGGCCGAGGTTCGGCCTTCTGATGCTGAAACCGAGAGGAGGGAGGGTAGAAACCGAGAGGGAAGAAGAGGGAGAGTAGAGACCGAGAGGTGGGAGAAGAAACCGAGAGAAGAGAAGAGAGGGAGCAGAGACCGAGAGGTGGGAAGAAAGAACAGAGAGGCGCGAGAAGACAGAGAGGCGGGTAGAGAGACAGAGACCGAGAGTAGGCGAGGAGACAGAGAGGGAAGCAAGGGAACCGATAGGCAGAGCAGGGAACCGAGAGGGGAGACCCAGAGCAGAGGCTCGGTCCTCGCATGCCACAGCCAACAGAGGCTCGGTCCTCGCGTGCCACAGCCAACAGAGGCTCGGTCCTCGCCCTAAGAGGCCTCTCTTCTTGGTTTCGGTTCCTAAAGCCTATTTTTCTCGTTTTCGCCCCGTTTTGAGCCGTTTTTGACCCGGTTAAGGGTCGGAATGACCCGAATGATCCCAAAAAGTTACGGGAATTTTTGAGAGAGATTTGGGAGAGATTTCTCACACTTGGAGAGATTTGGGAGAGATTTGACATTCTTGGAGAGATTTCTCATACAGAGAGTTATTGGAGAGAGATTTCACATACTTAGAGGGATTTGGGAGAGATTTGACATAGAGAGAGATAGAGTGAAAATGATTGAGAGAGGTTCCATGTGGGACAGTTGTGAGTGTCCGGCATCGCAATGCATGGTTCGTAAACCCTGTTAAGCCTTGTTTAAGGATCTTACACACTCCCGATGAGTAAGCATCATTGTTTTATCGGTTTGGCTTGCCACTTACCGCAGTTTTTAGGTTAAAGAGATCTAGTTGTATGTACTTTTCGATTTATGTTTTCTTATCAGAATAGCGAGTTGTTTAGTAAATACTGAACGTAAGTCCTAGTACACAAAGATTAGTTGAGCTGACTTGTTGACTTTATTTGACTTTGAATTGACCAGAATTTGACGGTTGTCACAATATTTCTCATGTATTGTTTTAAATTTCGATTACACAATATTTTTTATTTTTTATTTTTAACGCGTTTTTCTTATTTTTATTCACTCCTATTGTTTTGAATCACATTTTAAATAAATATTTGGCAATAAAATGAAATTTGATGAGTATTTAATGATGGCATGACGAGTTTCTCTAATGTTACAATAGTTCCCAAATAAGAGTTGTTGTTTTATCTTTTAAAATAATTGTTAGTTTATCTTTTTCTATAAGTTAAAAAAAATAAAAGATATTTGGTAAAATAAAAAAAAAATTAAAACCAACTTAGAAAAATGAGTCTATTGAAAAGTCAACATTTTGAAACTTTTAACCATTTAAAACTTAAATTACTTTTATACCCAACTATCTAATCAATTGGATACGGTCGTTACTCGCGTTCTTGTTTTGTCCGCTCACCTGTTCTCTGTCGTTCACGATAGTTCAAACCATCGGCGGTCTTCCTCGGCGATCTGCCTTCCAGCCATCGTCGATCTTCTTTGTCGGCGTTTCCTTCCTCCGTCTCCGATCAGGTAAGTTTAAGCTTCGATTTTGTTTTCGTTTGTGTCGATTATCAATTTTCATTAGGGATAAGCAAAAGGACCGAACCGGCCGGAACCGGATCGGAACCGGGAACCGGCTTCTGCCAAAATCAAGAACCGAACCGACCCGGCGGTTCTATCAGTTCCGGTTCTACCGGTTCCCGGTTTCTACCGGTTCTTGTCGTGTCTTCAAATGTTGGAACCGGTCCTTGAAAAATAGCATCATACGATTCCGATTTTTGTCGGTTCTACCGGTTTTTGTCGGTTCCGGTTATATCGGTTTCGGTTCCTACCGGTTCCCGGTTCCAAAAATACACAAAAATAACGTCCAGATCCCTGCCCGACCGGTTCCATCGGGTTCCGGTTCCGATCAGTTCCCCGGTTCATTTGCTCATCCCTAATTTTCATTAACAAAAAAAATATCGATTTTCGACTTTCTTTGCACTGAATGTAATTTGTTCCTTCGATTTTGATACCTGTGATGTTATGAAATATTGATTATCATACGTTTGAAGTACTATGGATATGTGTTGACGAAAATTGATGATATATAGATGAAATATGGATTTGTGTTGTGTTAACATGACTAGATTTGTGAAATGTATGCACCAAGCTTTCTCTCTAATTCTAGTTTTTTTTTTTTTTTTTTTTTTTTTTTTTTTTTTTTTCATAAAAAGCTTCTAAAATACAAATGGAAATGACTATTGTACCCTTGCGGTGGATAAAGGAACAAAACATCCAATCCAGTGACGAAAATGGCTTGAATTATGATGAAAACGGACGGCGATTCACGATATTGAATACTTTTGTACCCATCGGAACCTGCCGGAAAAAATGCACCACTTATCATCATCGTCGTGGATGCTCCGCCGCTTTTGCTGTCATGCAACGCCTTCCTTTTCGCCCCCTACCGCCGTTTTATCTACTTCTGCTGCTACTCTCACTCCTCCCAAGAAGAAAAAACTCGTTTTCATGGGTTCTCCCTCGGTAATCTCTCGCCCAATGTTCCTACAATTTACGTTAAGCATCGCCATGGGAAATAATTTTCGATTGGGGCTTCGATTTTGAAATCTGATTCGTGTTAGGTCTCTGCTTCCGTTCTCGAGACTCTTCTTGACGCATCCTCCGCCGCTGATTCCTTATTCGAGGTACTTAATCTTTGACAAACTGCGATGAATTAATCAGAGTAGTATTACATCAATATCTAACCTAATTATGAATATGAATATGAATACGACCCTTAAATCCATTTACATTCGCGAGTAATCAATGACAATGGCTTTCAAATTTCAAATTCTCACCCAATGTGATTCAGGTTGCAGCGATTGTTACCCAGCCACCTTCAGGAAGAGATAGGGGAAGAAAAGTGATGCCATCACCTGTAGCACAACATGCTCTCGATAGAGGCTTCCCTAATGACCTAATTTTCACACCTGTTAAAGCCAATGAGGAAGCATTTTTGTCCAATTTCAGAGCACTTGAGCCTCAACTTTGCATCACAGCAGCATATGGCAACATATTACCAACCAAATTTTTACAGATTCCTTTATTAGGTTAGTGTTCTTAAAGATCTCATTCTCACCACACTATCTTTCAAGTTTTCTTGAATTCTTTTGTTATTATCTTTGAATGTATTATCTGTAGGGACTGTGAATATACACCCAAGCTTGCTGCCTTTATACCGTGGAGCTGCTCCTGTTCAAAGAGCATTGCAGGTTCTTTTTCTTTTCTTTATTTTTTTTATACATTTTATAAGTAACATTAGTAAAAAAAGTTTATATCTTTATATGAAAATAATAATCTTCATCAGGATGGAGTTACAGAAACTGGTGTATCATTAGCATTCACTGTCCGGGCATTAGATGCGGGCCCCATTATTGCCTATGAAAAAATGAAAATCGATGATCATATTAAGGTTTGAATTCTTTTCCAAATATGAAATTGATACAATTTGTTGCATTTTCATTAGTGAAAATAAATAATAATAAAAATTATGTGATTTGTTTTCAGGCTCCAGAATTGCTTGATCTACTATTTGCACAAGGTATGTCATATTCTCATTCAATGGAATAAATAAATAACTAAATAAATAAATAAACATTACTTTATAATGATCCTAATATACACAGGATCTAAACTCTTGCTTCAAGAACTTCCCTCTATATTCAATGGATCTGCAAAGACAAAAGCTCAAGAACAAGATGACTCAAAAGCCACTTTGGCTCCAAAAGTTAGTTGAGTTACTTAAAGGGATAATGACATAAAAGCCCTTAAGTTTAACAGAAATGTACATTGCTATTATGTTGTTAAGCTTTTTTTTGTTTCTTGTAGATAACTCAAGAGGAGTCATGGTTATCTTTTGACAATGAAGCTTTGACTCTACATAATAAGGTATGATGCCATAAGATGAGATAAAATAAAATATATTTTTTAATCCAAATCTTTTATCATCACATAATTAATTATAAATAAACAAGTTTTTAGGTGAGGGCTTTTGCAGGGTGGCCAGGGACCCGAGCTAAAATTGTTGTAATTGATGAAAAGAATGATAAAAGGAGTGAACTTGATCTCAAAATTATAACTTCTAGGGTTTATAATGATGATGATGCTCAAGTTAGCAAAGATGATGACGTGGCATTCAAAAAAGGGTCGATGATTATACCATGTAGCGGGGGCACGGCTCTTGAGGTGAGGATGCATTTACCGTAACAATATTTATTCCAAGATTTTTTTTTTTCAAGAAAACTTAAAGTTTGATTTTATTTTTTATCACTAAAGGTGAAAATTACAAGAAAATCGGTATATTTGTGTTTTAAAAAAAAGTACAATCATAAGGTAAACAAGTGGAACATTTTGTTCATAAAATACCTTTAAAATAAATGTTCTTTGTGAACAAAGGACACCTTTTTCAAAATAATGGTATTTTCAAAAAAAAAAAAAAAAGTTTGTTACCTATTTATGTCATTAATCCTATAAATATAATTTTATTTAAATTAATTTATTAATTTATTGAAATGTAAGGTCTTGGAGGTACAATTGCCGGGTAAGAAAGCGGTAAATGCGGCTGCGTTTTGGAATGGTTTGAGAGGTCAAAAGGTGAAGAAATTGGGATTGTAAAAGTAAATTTTCTTCAACAAAAAAGTGAGCTTAAGAATTTTGTAAAAGAAAAAAAAAATGTAATGGTTTTCAAGAAACTATAACATTTTATTTTCTCTAAAGAATTGTAACGCATTGTTTCTAGATAAGCTTCTTGTTTCTTTTTGTATCTTCTTTATCGCTCATTAGTTTAATTAGTATTTTTTTTTATTGGAGTTTTGTATTTAAGGGTGGTTATTTTAAATTTTATTTACCAAAATGTGTTTGGTTTGCGAAATATTAACAAAAATAAGGCAAAAACACGATGCACCTAACATTATTAAAGTAATAAAAAAGAGAAAATAACACGATGAGAGCTTCTACAGAAGATGGTGACAACATTCATAATCAATAATCATTCAACCAATGAATGAAAATTAGTGAAAGATTCCACTGCTTTGTGAGAGTTGGAAGCGATTGAATGCTTGCAAAGGGATGTTAAGATAAATATTTTATTTATTTATACATTGATAGGCTATTAATGGAAGTGGAAATGTCCAATTATGCATACATAAATGAGGCAACGGAAGCCTATATTTTTTTTTGAAACAGCAAATCTAACCTGCTCCTAAACTACACCTTAAATCCACCTATGTCCACGACGGGACTTGAACCCTCAACCTCAAGTAGGGAGGGCAACACCGGATACCGCTGGGCTAGAAGCCCTTTGGTAACGGAAGCCTATATGATATATTTTTTTAATTAATAAAAACAGAAAAAAAGAAATAGATAAGTAGAAAATACAAAGTGTATTGAGATTAGTGAATACCCATAATGGTTTTGTAAACTCAGCTTCTAGTGAATACACCGGTGTCACAATGTTATCAGATTCAACCTCTAACATTGTAACATAAATTATAGAAACTGGATGCTAAAAAAACATTTAATTATATGTAAAAAAAATCTTTCTAAAGTTATCCATTTGTGAAGATTCCAAAAACAATTTTTTTTTATCAGTGACAAAGAATAACACTTCTAGAGTAACAATTACATAATGCAATTGAATTAGCGTGAACATATATAAAATCAAAGTTATAAGATGTAATTTTCTAATTACCTTCATCGAACCACTTTGGTTCAGTTGGAGATTTAATAATGGTAGAATCGCCCCTGCAACACATACACTTTTGTATACATCTCTACACAAAGCAACAACATTTGCAGAATTGTAAAAGAGTGTTAAATGTTTAGGAAAATGACTTATTAAGGTAACTAACTATTCCTATTGTCATAAGGTTATTGTCACTATGGCCCAACAAAGTTACGTATAATGGTTTAAATGCTCCATCGTGACTATTTTTTGCATTTTAATGGCATAAACCTGTAATTTCTGGTTTTAAAAGGGCACTTTTGGAAAAATGAAGGGGTCACCTGGTAACCCCCATCCTACATAGCAATTATCTATTTCCACCTAATATCCAAATAGTTTAATTTAGTCCACGTCATTATGTAATTCCCTGTTCTAAAATATTCATTTATGGATTTCGGAAGCCAAGGCTAGGGGCGTTTTGGTCGTTTATGGGCTTTGAGTTTTATTCGAGAAGGTTTCGAGTCGGGGAGTGTTGCTAGAAGCGTAGGCTTCTCGCCACCTTTCCGTGGATATAAAGTTCGTCAAAACGGACTTAGAATGAAGGAGTTATAGTACTTTGAAGTGATTGATATGTATGGCCCCTTAATGGAAAAGTTGGCAAGGTAGTCCCTTGCATGCATGAAGTGCAAGCGTGGGTTTAGCTGGGTACGCCCAGCGTAAGCTGGGTTACACCCAACGTATTAGAGCAAGTGATCGCGGGTACAGGAGGCGTACGCCCAACGTACGCTCGGAGTCTCAAAACCCTAATTTTTAGGGTAAGCCACTATATAAAGAACATAACACCCTGGTTACCAGCCTCCCTCTCATCTTCACTCAGCCACCACGAAACCCTAAACCCTCTAGAGTGTCCTTGGAGATTGTAAGGCCATTTTGAGTGCATTTTGGTGTTTTTGGAGTGGAGTGACCATCTTGAAGTCTCATTGATCAAGGAAGAGCCTTTGGATCCAAGTTCTCTAGCTCATTTGCAAGCCCCAGAAGGTATAAAGTTTCTAATTTTCCTCATAGAAGCTTAGATCTAGATTTAGTAAGCTTTGGGATCTTTTTAGGTCCAAAGATTGGACCTTTATGATATAACTTCATCTTTACGCTTGGGATTGCCACCCTTAGAGCTAAAAGTGCCCCATAAGCAGTAAAGTCTCGATCTTTATGGTCCCAATGAGCTAATGCATGTGATCCAGCCCTTGTTAAGGAAGTATTTTGTCACATTTTGAGTTTGGGCTTATTTGATGGGTTGCAAGCCATCAAGTAAGCAACTTTATGGATTAAGACGTGGAAGAGGACTTGGATCTGAGTTTGTAGCCTCTGGATTGGGGTATTGAGCACTTATTGAGAAAAGGTCTTAGTAGAGGAAATTACGCTGAGCATACGTGTAGGTACGCCCAGCGTACACACCATCATGCATGTACGCTTAGTGTACGTAGATGTATGCCCCACGTATTTTTGTCTGTATGGGTCATGAATTATTGGGTTGCGGATTAGGGCATGTTTGAGTGTTTGGGCCTTAGCAGGCCATCCGAAATCAGATTTTTTGGGCCAAGGATATAATTGGGCTTAGGGTAAGGCCTATTAAAGGTATTGGGCCCAGTTTAGCAAATTGAGCCATTAGTGGGTCACTGGTGGGCTTGGGAAGCTTACCTAGTGTTGGACTTTGAATATGTATTAAGTTGGACTAGGAGGAGTAGAATGGTCATTCTACCCTACGAAGGATTATTGTATTGGGCTAAGTATTATTGTGGTATTGATAGTTCGGGGAACTAGAGGAGCAGCAGTGCGAGGATTGTCCAATAGAAGCCAGAAGTGTATCAGCAAGGGTTCAGTAGTGCAAGGTGAGTATCTTCATTGTGTGAATGGATCTAAGGCCACAATGCCGGCCCATGTAGTTTATGAGTAGGAAGTTCCGGGGGTTAGCCCTAGGCACTATATGCTAGTATTATGTTCCAGACCAAGGTCCGATGCTGGGCGGGTGCCCGAGACAGGTTTATGTGTATGATATTCCAGACCAAGGTCTGATGCCGGGGTAAACTCGATGTATGTTGCATGTTAGATTATACTTGTTGTATGTGTGATACTTGTATGTGCTTGGTAGGGAGGTGAGTGTGGGCAGGGACCTGTATCTCACCAGCAGTAGGAGCATGGATGGGGTTTCATGACTTATCAGTAGCAGTACAGGGGCGGGGCCCAAGATAGGCGAGGCCTCGACACAGGACTATTGTAGAGTATGTTAGCTTATTTGTTATGTGCTATTTATATGCTTGTATATGCTTAGCTGATGAGGCCCGAAGATAGGCGGGGCCTAAGAGAGACAAATCTGTATATCGAGCGGGGCTCGATGCTAGGCGGGGCTCGATATCGGAGTGAGTCTGATGCCAGGCAAGTCCCAATGCAGCGGGCGGGGGCCCAGTACGTGGATATGTGTATGGTATGTGGTAGGTTGGGGAACTCACTAAGCTTCGTGCTTATAATTTTCAGTTTTAGTTTCGGGTACTTCCGGTAGCGGACAGCAGAGCTTGGGGTGATCACATGGCACACACCAAAGGAGTTTCAGCCTGGGATGTTTACTCTGATAATAAGAACATGTTTTAAATCAATACTCTGAGTTTATTCTATGAATGACTTTATGGTTTTATAAATATAGTTTAAGTAATGTTTTTCAAACGGAAATTTTAGACCGTATTTTTGGGACGTTACACATTACCACATGTATATAGGAGTTAATGAGAAATCATGTATGTTTAAACCCCTAAACTGTCTCTTTCGAACACTTTCTTCTTAACTTCCTCATCGAAATTTGTTGTTCAACTGTTCTTCGATCCTATCCTTTTCTTCAAGTGTTCGTCACTCAAATCGGCGAACTTTGTCTTTGCTATGGCCATTTTCATGAAGATTGATCTACATTTTGCTGGATTTTTTTTACTAGGTACCCTCTATTACTTTCTCAGATGGAGCAGAGCAATGGTTTGATGATGTTGATTTTGTTGGAATGGACAAGAAGGAATTTGTCGAGTTCCTTGAAAGATTTACATTTGAGATATGTGTGAATGTGTACTTTTTCATGCCTGAGATTTATTTTCCTGATTGATAAAAGTTAATCGTGACCGACATGGATTACATGGAACTAATCGAAGTAGGGTATGCTTCTGATTTTGTAATTGATGTATATATGGACCATCTTGGTGTTAATGTACATCAATGGATTCTTGAAAAGTAAGCAGAAGTTCGCAGTTCTTTAGACTAATTATCTAGTACAAATGAAGATCATGAAGAAGTGCACAATCATATGGATATGGATGATGGAATCGATATGCAAGATTTACATGGTGGTAGGGATGATATCCTAGGTGCAAGGAAGGATTTGCAAGGTGAGCAAGATGATGGAATTTACATGGAAGTGGACACTAAACCTGATGAGTGCATTCCTATGAACAAGACAAATGATGATGAGTTTCCGAGTAAGTTGTGCCCAAAGGAGCAAGTTGTGTTTTATACAAACAATCCTATGCGTACATGCAACCCTAGTTTGGATCTATGTTTTCACTATTAAACACAAAACTTATGAACAAAAGAGAAAACCCTAATATGCATCTAATAATTTTTAAACACACAAACAAAGGATTATATTACATACATTTGTTGCTATATAGTAATAACAACTAAATCTTGAAGTTCCTTTTCTCTTGAGAACAAGTACCACAAATGTAGTACCTCTAATGGCTTACAAACACACTTGAGTGAGATGATGAATATGAGTGAGAGGAGAAAGGGTAGCTTACTCCAAAAACGGCTCTTATAGGGTTTCTCCAAGGGGTGGAAAGAATCTAGAGCCTAGGGGGTCTATTTATACTTGAGGCTAGCTAGGGTTTCAAGGGTGGAAACCCTAATCCCTTAGCTTAGGGCCTAAGAAAGTCCATAGACCTCCTTACATTAGGACCTTGGACGAAAACTCCTAGACCCTTCTAGGATTTTCGGCCTAGCCCTAATAAAGGTGATCCAATGGCCCAAAGCCTCACTTATCAAATAATTACAAAACAACCCTTTACTTTTAATCAGGTCCTTTAATCCCAAAATTAATTCCAAATTAATTTCTGATTAAATACTAATTAATAATATGATTCCTAATTAATATATTATTC